CATCATCTTGATTCTACAGCACGTTTGAAATGTTGAATAGTAATGATAGTGTGAAGCATAGTTATGATAATATCAGTAGTGATATTAATAATGATAATGATAATAACAGTTTTTCACACTTATTTTCATGCTGCTCATTTGTGATTTCTTTGTACACTTAATTCAAAACGAAAGCGGAAATTGAATCGAATCGCTCATTCGCTGTTTTGATACACCCAAAAATACCACTATGTTCCCATAACTGAATAAATATGAGACTATCCATAATATATCAGAGCTTAACTGCCTTCTTAGAACCCTTTATAAGGAAACGAGCTCAATAATGTACGTACTTAACCCAATCATTACTCTCACTATATCTTTCACAATAAAATCATATTGTATGATTCATAATGTATGCAAAATATCGGAGCTGTCCTTGTGATAACCTGTTTATTTAGTGAATTGATTTATAATATGCCTATTGATGCTTCACTAAACTTTAACAGCTTTGTATGCTTTCTGTATGTGTTCAATAATCTTGAATAGTCTACCAATTGATCTCTTTTCGTGAACATAACCCAGAAATGCAACTATTGGGAGGTTCTGCGAATAAACTAAAGCCGATAAAAAAAATCATTTCAGTGAATCTGGTCCTGATCTGTTGCTAATGTCGGTTGGTGGCAACGATATTGGCTACTCGGAAATTGTTTCAACATTGATTTGGGGTGAATCGTCGTCACTCTTTGCATCAGTCGATATGCGTTTCTTTTACGCATCCTATCAACTCGATCGAATCGCTGCTTCACTGCATAAAATCAAACCTCTACAAGTACGTTCAAAACGGCACTGCACTCGACCAATTCTGCAAAATTCCTGAAAAAATTTGTTCAGTGTCCTTCGAATCACTTTCACTAAACGCTTTTTTTTGCGCCACTTCAAAACCACCATCATGAGAGAGAGAGAGCAAGTAACATTTCCGATGTTAAATGGAGTGAAACACGAAATGGGAATGTAAAATGCTGCTTGAATATGCATATTTCAAGTTACATTTATGGAATTACCAAATCTCCATTTCATTTCATTTTATGCGTCACTTGATACAACGATAACAACACGTATTCAGTGCACACATACACACACACAATTTTCGTTATCAATAACAAATTCTATGGTTTAGATCGTCATACCACATTATTTCGACGTAACACGCAACGAAAAAGGCATCATCGACGCTAACTGTGATGAATTACATCAGGTTCATAAGACAGTTTTTAGCTCAATTTCTTTCATCATTGAAGCTAAGAAAATCAGTGAATGGAGTCTAGTCTGATCCATACGCCATCTGATCCACCTCATTGTTCATGCAATAATTCCACAGCCGTACCATAAAGCTGCTGTTCATGCCCCTCATTGCTGGCTAGTCTTATTCTCCCATAAATAAGTAATCATCAGACTGGAATATCAATTAACCGAAATATTCATTTAATCAATAAACATTGATTAAATACTCATTTGATCAATGTTGTGATCATAAATTGATGTTGACTGCTTACGGTAAAGCACCTGATATCTTGACAGCTTATGGTAAAACACAACTTTTGGTTGCACTCCATTCTTAGCACTTATTTGACAGTTATATCATAAAAGTTTCATAGAGACAATGCCTGAAACCCTTGCATAAAGTGTTTCATTTGGGTATTGTGTGAGCGATTTTTGCGATATCTGACGAATGCACCATTGTTGGGTGTGTGAAATTTTGTCTTTGCCATCCAACTGATATGTTTGCTTG